TTGGATGGTTTTTTATTTTAAATATAAAAAAAACCCCGCCCCCCGCTACAATCCTGTCTGATTATAAAAGGTTTTTCTCATTTTTTGGAGTTTCTGAACAACTGGTTTTCCAGAAGACCGGATCTTCGAAGGGCTAAGAGGAACTCCCATATTCATATTCGGAATCAGCATGATCGATAACCTATAATCCACTAGATTCCGATTAAAAAGCGACTGAACACTTGGGAACGTTCCCTCGTTAGTTTTCTAACTTTTCACACACAAATTGTGGAACGGAGAAAGACAAAGAAAAGAGGAGTAATTACGTGATATTCTTTTTTTGTTTTCTTCGATTATTTTCCATCTTATCGTTCAACTATCTACATACAACAGTGCAATGTTCAAGTCCATTTTGATTAATATCATTTTATTTTGTCTGATAAAGATTTTCTTTCATTCGAACCATCAGTAGTTTTTAACAGAAGAAAGAGTTAATTTGTTTAAAGTTCAATCATTATGACCTTTCTAATACGAATGAAATTTCTTTTATTTTCTAGAACCTTGTGTGAATGATGTTACAGCCACCATGTCAACATTGTTGTGGTCATTCGATAATAATAATGCAAATGAAGATAATACTGGTTTATACAATGGAGTATTGATCAATAATCCAACATTTGTTGAAGGCTATGTTGGAAATGCTGTTTATCTGAATTCATCACCGTCATTGGGACAGGAACAATGGATTGAAATACCCTTTGTTAATTTATCGTATCAAAGTTTTACTATTGAAATGTGGATAAAATCTACTGGTTCTTATGAAACAGACTATCGTATTTTTGTCGAATGTGAATCACTTAGAAAATATCATTGTTTACATTTCATCATATACAATAAACGAATACATTTCGGGTTTTATAGTGATGATACACAAGGAAAAACAGAACTTTTACCGAATACTTGGTATCATGTTGCACTTGTCTATAATTCCGTTGCAGCTCAACGATTGATTTATTTAAATGGTATACAAGATGAAATATCTGTGAAAAGTGTTCGTGTTGGTCCATATAAAGGACAAAGTGGTAGTTTATCTATTCCAAGTTGTGGTATACTAAGCGATGATCATCCTAGTAAATATTTTCAAGGTTATATTGATCAATTTTCAATAACAATAGATCGAGCAAAAAGTCCATGTGAAATATTAAATGATGCGACACTAGTAAAAAAGTTTGATTTTGATGATACATTTAGTAATAGTAATTCAAATATTAAATTTAACAACATAAAAGCAACTGTTGGACGAGTGAATCAAGGTATTTCATTTGATTCACCAGATGCATATTTTCAAGCCGGCGGTTTTCTTGCACTTGGATTACGTGATAGTCCATTTTCATTTTCATTATGGATTAAACCAACAACAAACGATGGCGGTGGAACTATTCTGCATGTATCAGCTTGTGCTAATGGTGCAAATAGTGGAGATGAAAGCAGTTGCAAGGGAAAACATACATGTTGTTGTACACCATTTATTGGTTTTAGCTCGAATAAGTCAATTGTTGCTCAAATTCATACAAATTCGCATCATATAGTCGGTGTATTTGGTCCAATTTTGGTAGCAAATACATGGACACATATAGCACAAACATTTAGCTCTAAAAATGGGCTTCGACTCTATGTTAATGGTAAATTATATTCTAATGGTGGTGTTCATTCTTATTTTGCTAGTGGTGCAACAAATTACATAACGCTTGGTAATTCTCTATTAGGATCAAAAAGTTATGATGCATTTGGATCAACTTATTGTGAATTAGGCGAAATTACTAAAGGATCATTCAATGGTGCCATTGATGAATTGTACATTTATAGTCGAGAATTATGCATGGAAGAAATACGTATACTTTCAAAACTGTAAAAATTTGCTCTATATGAACGTTTGATCCAAACATTGCCATTCAGTGCCATCAATTCGATTGGATATAAAGAGTAGATATGATTTTGACGTTCTCCTGTTTTTTACATAAATATCGAAAGAAAACTAATGGTAATTTTTACATGTTGTAAATAATTTACATAGTTTGTTCGATCCTTACCATCATTAGAACTGAATTATAATAGCTATTTTTTAAGGACTATTTTGGTTTTTAAAATTAGCAAAAAGATTTTTATTAATCTAAAGAGCTTTTTATGTGCAATTCTATTTTTTTGTCTACGTGTGAACTAGAAGTGTTAGTTGATAATCTGATGTTATATTTCAGTTACGGTTGGCACCGATGACAGCGGTGCAAACTCAAAAAAGGTTCTCAGTCTTCGATGATCGTGGCTAACATCTCTAATAGCGCTTATTCATATTTGAAAATGGAAATAACTTACTTTTTTGTTAGCTTAGAATGTTTATATGATTATACAGAACATTCCATTACTTATTGTTTGACACATTTTTTCTGTAGCTCATTTTTAAATCTTTTCCGTCTTAAAAGATGACAGGCAGTGTGGCCGAGCGGTCTAAGGCGCCAGTTTAAGGCACTGGTCTCTCCGGAGTCACGAGTTCGAATCTCGTCACTGTCACTTTGT